TGTGGAGGAAAACCCAGACCTAATTACCTTTTTATCAAGGAGGTATTTTCAGATTTGCTAATGGAGATGTAAAACCTCATGTATATGTAAATTTTAATGTGCTTTCCACTTCTTCCCTTCAGTTTCTCTTAACAAAGGTAGAAGTAGAAATTGTGTTGAAATTGTCCACATCAGTTTCATTTTCTTTTCACACAGAACCGTATTCCTTTGTCTCTGAAACTGAAGCATCTTTGTTTTGTATCATTAGTAAAGAGGGAGCATGGGGAATAAAAATTGGTTTTTATACATATATATTTTAATGGAGTATAGGTGAGAGCTGAAGGTTGCTTGAAATGACATTGCTTCCAAAGAAGCTTCCTTTAATTCAATTTTTTTTTGAAGTTGCTTTCCGTGTTGGAACTCGTTCTGCCTGAAATCTGGTGTGTTCAGATCAAAATTCCTAAAGAATGTTCATTCTGATGACACTTCGTAACGTCTGTATTCAGATCAGTTGGAAACTGGATTATTGATATTTAAGTTCCATGATGAGGACCTCAATGAAATTAAATTAATTAGAAATATTAATGAAGTAATTTCATATTCAGGGCCAGGCAAGGAAATGAGATTTTTGGGAGAACCAGGATTTTGTTTTCAGAATTTTCTATTACAATTCTATTCTCTCTTTTTATGTATTATGTATACACATGCAACAATACCTGATTGTAATTGTAAAAGTAAAAAAAAAAACAAGTGGTAGTGGGGCTGGATATCAATACTAGCTTTAAAAGTAGCTGTTAATTTTAGGCTGTATCTATACCCTAAGGACTTCACTGGTTCTGCATGTAGGATGGAAGTTCTGAGCATTGAGGTATAGGTATTTTTTAAGATTTCAATCATGAGATGCTCTGCACAAATTATCTAATGATCTTCTGAGCTACTTAAAGTCTGCGAAGAAAAGCATAGGGTGAACTGTACATGGAAGCCACCAGCTTGCCTTCTGTTCTTGTGTCCTTGACTGAATTGTGAGAGTAATTTGCCTATTAACCTAAAATGATAGTAGGTTATTTTTTTGCTTGAGGATTTCTGGCTGCGAGGTGAGTTATTGAGAAAGGAGAGAGAGACTTGGAGAGAGGGTTTTTTTTAGTAGGCTCTGGTAAGGCTTGAGAAGATTTCTCCGAAGCGGAGGTTGAGGCGACGTTGTGTGCTAACCGTCAGTCTCTGGGAAATAAAGGAATTGGAGAAGGTACAGATGTATTAATTAATTAAACAAACAGCGCACACAGCATTTCGAGAGTTTCTTGCTAAGTCCATAAAGGGTGTGTGTAGGGGCATGCAGTAACTTAGAGCTCTGGCTCTTTGATTTCCTTCCTCCTTTTCTCCACTCCCCTGCAAAGAACTTTAGATTTTTTTTTTGTATTTTTTTAAATTAGACTTCTTCATTGTATGCCTTGTGATTATTTCACATGGATTGATACTTCCTAAAGTTTTGTAAGCTAACAGAAATTATGATTTTTAAATGTGAAGAAACGGTTTGTGAGCATGACTAGCTGGGAATAAATTTAATGCTATATTTGGGTACTTAAGGTGTTAGTTTTGCCTTACATATTAACCCTTAGTTTAAAGACAACTTTTGTTTTCAGGAGATACTGTGTGTACCGTGTGGAAATCTGTTTCCTTTACCTTGAGTTAAGGACAACGCTGTTCTTACTTTGTATTTCTGCCAGGAAACTATTATCCTATTGTGCATAACATGGCTTTGCTTCACCTCTGAAAACCTTGAACCAAAAACCAGAGGTGGTGTGCATCACTTCACTGTTTAATATTAAATTTCTAACCAGCATTAGTGAAAACCTTAATGTTTGGATTTTCTAGAAGGAATTGTGCCATAGCAGATCTGCTCTCCCTGCCGTACAAGTAGGGTGCTTGCAGCTTGCATGGTGTCGGTGACAGCAATGGCTGCTGCTTACTTCATTATTTTGTTGGAAATTTCGTCCCTGCTGACTGCAGGGAGAAAAGAGTTCTAATCTGGGGGTGATTTTATTTTTTTTTGTTGTTTTTAAATTTGGCTTTTGTGTGATGACCTTGAATTTTCCTCTCTACTACTTAGGACTAGTTTTGCAGTGTAATGAATTGAAATGCATCTGTTATCATGCTGATGCTTCTCTTTGCCTTGGTTTATCTGAATTCCATCAGATTATGCTACAATTGTCTACCTTTTATCTGTGAAATAATGCAGTATTTGCAAGAGAGCTTAATTGCATTTAAAGTGTATTTAAAGAGTATGTGTGTTTATTTTTAAACTTTGTTTCTCTTACATTAAGCTTCTAAATTGCTGTCTGTCACCAAGGACACTATCCACTTTTTCACCTTAAACCATCCAATACGGTTTTAAAATAAAATTAAATTTTCCAGTATTTCCATAAGGATTAAAGTTTAATCAGATTTCCATATAGGAATTTAGTGGTGTTTGTTAACCATGTGGCTTCACTTGAACTTGAAATCATCCAGAAGATGCTGAGCTCCATCATCACTGCATTTTGAAACCCAACTTTCCTGAGATTCCTGTGCAGTGTTATTTCATGTCCAGAGCTGGATTACTGAAGCAGCTGTGCTATGTAGTTGTCAATGAATAGTGATAATTCACTCCTGTGTCTGGATCCTGGCTTTTTTTGTTCCTAAAACACCATTAAAATTAAACATCGGATCAGCACACCACCTTGGAAACTTATGCTTCAGTCAGGGCCAGCCACTTGGAGCAGTTCCTCATTGAGTTCAGTTCACGGCCTGCTTTAAGTTACTGTAATAAAGAATGTGCTGCATTTCCTGTTCCTCCTTGAACGGTTTGTGGGTTCTCTCATCCTTGAAGTGTTTTAGGCCCCTAATTTTAAATCTGCTGGTAGGCAAAGCCACGTATTTAACGCCTTTCTTCTCACTGCAGTGACTACCCTGGTCACTGCTCTTTAAGTGTTTGGGGTGAGAGTCAGTGGACTGATTTCTTTCTGTTTTCATAGACTGAACGGACTGTGTCAGTCCCAGAAAAGTGTTTTGTTTTTTTTGCCCTTACTGTTTTACTGTCCCATCATCTACCTGCTGGTGGAGGAAAGAAGCACCTTGGAAATGCCACTAAAGCTGTATCCAGTAACTGCACCTGTGGAGGTTGCACTTGAAGAGGCTTGCTCGGGTGCTTGGAGGGTGTCAGTTCTTTGTGCCCTGGGGCTGTTTCTGTATCTTTTTCAGGAAGGCAAAATTTGTGTTGTCAGGCTGTAGACTAAGAAATGCAAGCATTTGGTGAGGTCAGAGGGCACGTACCTGCTCTCTTTGGGCATTAGTTGATGGAGTCTCATTTTGTTTTTTTTGGGGGGGGGAAACAGTGTTTCCTTCGTACAGTCTTTTTAGGCTACTGTAGTTCATGGAGTTTCTTTTTCCATTTGACCTTGCAAAAAGATGCACTGGTGTTTGCTGTTTCACTGACTTAATTGAATGTGTTTCCCTTCACTTGTTGGGATTTGTTTTGGTGTTTGTTTGAGGCTTTTTTTTCCCTGAGACTGAGCAGGTGCTTGATGCTCCCCTCCTTATAGACAGATTTGTTTTCTGTTCAGTAGTTTATGAAGTACTTTTTAAAGTTCTCCTTGGCTTTCATTCTTCTATTACTGAAATGGTGGACCTAATTTAATGTCCAATGTGAATAACACTTTGTTGCTTTTAAACATCTGTTCTTTTCCTGTGAGAGTGTCTTAGGCTGGCAGACACTTGAGTTAACTTCTAGCTAATATAACTGAAAATTGTTTTGCTTGTACAGCTTCTTTAAAAAGAAAAAACCCCTGTTTTTTCACATGTAAGTTGGTATGAAGGTATACTGGTACTGTGGCATCCTGGCAAGGATCTGCTTTTTCTGCCTTCCTTCTCTATTCCTGCTCTTTTAATTAAAATTGGTAAAATATATTTCACATAAACCACTGAATTGATTTGGATACAAGATAAAATATTTTGGTAGTTGTACTTGCAGGGATTGATCTGTATTTCTGTAACAAAACAGCAGCTAGCAGAGCAACAAAATTGGGAAGTCTCTGAAGCACGATCTTGAGGGGCAGAAGACTTCATGGAGTTGCTAACTAGTACCAGTGTACAGCACTGGGAAAACAGCATTTAATTCAGAGTTGTCTGAAGGAGATATGTTTATTGATGGGGTGTTTTTTGCTGTACAGGACTATTTTGGTTTTTTGTTTTTTTCTAAAACACTCTGGACTGAGAGAAGCTGCCAGTGAAGCATCTGATAATAAACATTGATACTTGCTTTAATGCCTTTAATGATGACTCCAGGTTTTTTCTTTTAGTTGATTGTATCTTACCTTTTGTGTGTAGGTGTGGGATTTCACTTATAGTTACTTCATTGGCTTCAGGAGCATGAAGATAAAGTTCAATTTAAAAAAGCCAAAACCAAACAAAAATGACAAAACCAAAGCAGTGCTTCTCAAAGCTGTTGCCTTTCTTCTTCCTGCTTTTAAATAAGTGACTTCTTGGCTAATGTTAAATATAAATCTTAAAATATAAACTCTTCTTAGGGTATCTGTGATATAATAATCTAGATATTACTTCTTTAAAATTAACATATATTCAGAGATATTTTTATAGATTTTAAATGAATATATTAGATCAAAAAGTATTAAGTTACAGTTTTCTATGTCTTGCAAAAAATTGTGTTTTAAATTTCCTCCAGACCTCAAAATACAAAGTGTCAGTCTAAAGAGACAGAAAACTTTGGGTCTGTTGTTTTCTAAGTGATTGATTTTATCTCTAATGCTGAAATACTTTGTAAGTGTTCCAAGGGAACGTGTATATAGCATTTTCTTGCTATTTAGACAGAAGGGATTTTTGATTACTTCATTAATGAACATTTTGGGAGGAAATGCCTTCAGACTGGTGAGAAAACAAGCCATCAACTTATTTTAAGTTCTATACTTTAGTATTTTATTTTCCCCTCCCTTCCAACCCGTGCACCCTCCCCACTTCTCTTTCTGCAGCGAGCACTTGTCCTGCTCATTCACCTTCTTCCTCCATGGAGACAGCAACGTTTGCACCAGCGTGGAAATCAGTCAGCACCAGCCTGTGTACCTGCTTAGTGAGGAACACCTCACTCTCGCCCAGCAGTCCAACAGCCCGTTCCAAGGTAGGTTTTACCAGTCAGTAGTGAGAGTTAAAAAAAGTCAATCCTTCGTCTTGCTCAGAATGAGGAGTTCTGACCAAGACTGAAGTGGGAGCAGAGGCATGATCTGGTTTGTATTGATTATGCGTTGTCCCCAAATGTCCGCTGTCTTGACACAGTCCTAAGTCAGTTGGTGCGTGTCAGGTCTTCTGCAGGTGGATGATTTCTATATTTGTCTCTTGGCATAAAAGATGCCAATTAATAGAACAATAGAAGACAAATAATTTGTCTTCACAACACAACAAACTTAATTTCCAAGTAATGTCCTGTTGATGACTTAAAGCATGTTGAAAAAGCAAAATATTTATAACCCCCACATATCTTCATCAGCCCCTCTTTTAGAAGTCCATTTCTGACTCAATGTACTTAATCTATTCACTTCCCCTACTCCCTTTTGTTTGGCTCTTCCTTGCCTGTAAATGCCTTTGGTTCCACCAGTAGATGCAGGCTGTGCTCTTGAAGACAAAGAATTGCTGGGGCCTGAGTCTGTCAGTGGGCTGGTTGATCATTCCCTGTCTTGAACACACTTGTGTTGGCTATAGAAATCAGTTCTCCTGCATGACCACGCACTGCCCTTGTTTAGTAATGCTCAGTGTCCAAACATGCTTTTTTTGAATGCAATTTAATAGCAGCTGTGCTTTCCTAATATGGACAAGACTAAACATGAAACAGATTACTTCTCTGAGTATGCATTGTTGTTGTAACTCTAGGAAGTAGAATGAAAGGCTGAGGAAACACCTTGCCTCTGTCAGGATTTGCAACAGTTTCTTTATCCCACCTGTATGTTAGAGACTCCTTGCTAGCCAAGGTGAAAATTTGCTTGTTTCTTGTTTACATGGATTAATTTATAATTGTTGTTGTGGTACCTTGATTCTTACAGTGCACATGCATTTAACAGTGTGTACCTATTAACAAAAGCTTGTGCAGTATAGTAAAATGGGATTAGGGTGCATTTTGACTTACTGATGGTAAGTTGTTTATTTGGTGTAGCTGAAATAACAGTAATGCTATTTCAGTGGGGAAGAGAGAATTGTTTAGATATGCTCTCCAATGTATTTTTGTTTATCTTTTTAGTTATTCTAAGTCCCTTTGGATTAAATGGCACGCTCACAGGGCAGTCATTCAAGCTTTCTGATTCATCGACAAAAAAGCTTATTGGTGAATGGAAACAGTTCTATCCTGTCACATCTAACTTGAAGGAGGGATCTGAGGAAAAACAAGAAGAAATGGATTGGGAGGATGATTCTTTAGCTGCTGTTGAAGTCCTAGTTGGTGAGTGCTCTGATTACCTTTCAATTACCAAAATAAACTGGCTGGTTAGGTCTGCAAAATTCCAAATGCAGAAGTGATCCCATTTTATTCTTTTTGCAATTATTTGCAACTGCTCTTGGTGCTTTGTTTTTCTGTTTAATCCTCAGGCCTGTCTAAAATGAGTTGCCGCTTAGAGTGGGTTTTTCAGACCTATTAATAGGAGGTATTTTTCTTTATGTGCCCTGAGAAGCAAGACTGTTTTTAAAATAAATACATTTTTTTGAAAGATAATACAAAACCCCCTAGACTGTCATTGTTGACATCCGAGACGCATCAAAAGCATGTTGTGCTGTTTCAGATTCTGGGCAAATTCAAACAGAACAGACGTGCCTTTCAGGGTCGTCTTCAAAACTGCAGTCCTGGAGAACTTAATGTACTCAGGCACTGCGTTTATCTACTGCTGTTCCTAAAATCTAAGCCCCTGAGACACAGTAGTTTGTGTCTCTGCTGTGAGCTATTGACCTTTGATTTGCTAACTAATGTAATCATTTCTCTGTAATGACTGTTACAAGCTTGTATTGCAGCGATGGCTAGAGACCCTGATGATGATGATGGGAAGTGGAATATTGTCAGTTTTACGTGATACTAAAAACAAACCAAAATGTCTTTATAAAAAAAAAATGACAGAAGCAAGCAGTAGCTTGTGGATGACAGGGCTGTCTCTGCCTGTAAATGCAAATCCCCTTTTATTAATTCACTCAAGTCTTCTGTATAAAGCTATGATGAGGGTGACAACAGAGATTTTTTTTGTCCAAGGATAATGCTTTAGTAGGTAGAAAGGGTGGGTAAACTTATGAGTGACTGGCAAAATGATCTATTTGTTGATGTTTTTGAATGTAAGTTTTTGGTGAACATCTGTAAAATCGGCTTGCTTTTTTTTACAGCTGGTGTGCGAATGGTATACCCAGCATGCTTCGTTCTGGTTCCTCAGACAGACATCCCTGCACCTACTACTGTAGGAGCATCTCACTGTTCAACTACTTGCTTGGGTGTCCACCAAGTGCCTGCTTCCACAAGAGATCCTGCCATGTCTTCAGTAACTCTGACTCCACCAACATCCCCAGAGGAAGTTCAAACTGGTATAATAAAATTAGCTTCTGCATGTCAGAAATCATTTTGATGGCTTATCCTACAAATCTAGCACTGTTTTGAAAGATTTGGATGTTCTCTGTACAACTGACTTGTTAGCAAACATCTCATTTCTTTAGTCATAAGTCTTGTGGTAAAACTGATCTTATTGTTCAGTTGTGGGCACTATTAACTTGAACACTTCTGTAAGTTGCTGAGAAGAGGACTGCTTTTGTCCTTGATGTTGTTACCTAGTACTTTAAACTTCTGTGGTCAAGTTTTTTTCCCCCCCTCTGTGTGTGTACATTCTGGCATAGCTTTATAAACACCGTTGTGCATCTTGGTCATTAGTAAGCAAGATGATGTTTTCAGCCTCTGTCATAGTCCAAGGAAGATTCTTTGTAGTTAAGTTTCCAGTAAGGCTGTGTGCCCTTTGAACTGTGTAGTAGTTATGATGAACTGCATTAAGTCAAAACTTCTATTTCTTTTTGTTTCCTAACGTTGAGTTAAGAAGATGCTTTTCTTCCTGTGGTGGTTGAATTGGAGTAATAGTGGTTGTGAGTGTATTGCCTCATTGCCTAAAACTGTTTCCTCTGGTGCTGCTTTTCAGTTGATGCTCAATCTGCCCAGAAATGGGTGAAGTTTTCTTCGGTTTCTGATGGATTTATCTCTGACAGTACTAGCCATCATGGTGGCAAAATACCTAGAAAGCTAGCCAATCAAGTGGTGGACAGAGTTTGGCAAGAATGCAATATGAACAGAGCGCAGAACAAGTATGTACTCATTTTGTGAAGTGAAAAACCCTGTGGTATCTTATGTGTGTGGTTGCTGTAGAAAGTAGTTCTGTTAAAGGTGCTGTGACTGCTAGTAGAAGGTCCTTTACTCTTAGTAGTAAAACATTTTAAAGAAGTTAATTTGTTCCCAACCAGTAGTTTGTTTTAGTTCTCAGTTTAATACGGTAATAAAAGGCTATTTATAATTCCTTTGCTGAATCCTGTGTCACAAAACTGCTCTTGAGGTTTGACAGAAGATAAGAAAAGAACATATGTTGAACCCAAATAACTGTCCTGATGTTGAATCATAGGAGGAAGTATTCTGCTACATCAAATGGCCTGTGTGATGAGGAGACAGCTGACAAGGTAGCATCCTGGGATTTTGTTGAAGCCACGCAGAGGACAAATTGCAATTGTTCAAGGTACAGTACTTGGCAAACCTGCAGTCCAACAATGTACATTGAGATTGAAGAGCTCAGGAGAGAGCTTGTGATGACTCCTTTAGGAGTAATTAAGCAATAGCTGCTTGTAGGAAAGCTGTAACAATATTTGTATCTCATATCCTAAATGTCATTGTAGGTCTTGAAACTCTGCCCAACAAGATAATGCAGAGTTTTTATTCAAGTGAATTTTGTGAGTGGACCTACTGGCAGCTCAGTAATAATTCCTGAGTCTTGGGCTGGAATTCCTTAGGCCTGTATGTGGATAGAATGGATCTCATGGGCAACTTTATTGGGCTGCAGTGGAAAGGGAATTCATATTTATTTAGGAATTAGAAACCTTTTCTAAAGGGCTGCGACATTAGCCTTGAAGGGAGAAAGCCATTTAATGAACAGCAAGATGATTCTAAGCATCGAGAACGTGTACGTGTGTATAAGAGTTTAAAGTAAATATAGGTTTTGATACCTCAGCAAGATGATTCTAAGCATCGAGAACGTGTATGTGTGTATAAGAGTTTAAAGTAAAAATAGGTTTTGATACCTTTTACCTTTTATTCCTGCCCAATCCTTGTTTTTAATATTTACCTTTTATTCCTGCCCAATCCTTGTTTTTGATACAAGTTGTGTGTTTCTTAACTTTACTAATGGAAGAGTGACAAAGAGTAACAGGCATTAAAGATGTGCATGCAGTCCAATAGCTTAATCATAAAGTTGTCATTCCAGACTTCGTTATTTCATGTGTCATTCTGTCAGATGATCTAGAAAGTTGGCATCTTGAACTTCAAGTTGAGATGTTTAAGCTCAAGTGCATTTATACTGGGAAAAAACCCTAATTGTATTAATGCAGTTGGGACGTGGAGTTTTTCTTTTTTCACATTTGCTAAATCTTTAGGTAAATAGCTACAAAAGCTTCGAAATAGTTTTTGTAGGACTGAGCTTGGCTTCTAGATTCTTGATGTGAATTTTCCACTCCTTAACCCATAGAGACTAGAACAGCACTATTGGTTAGTATTGGTGCTTCAATTCAAGAACACATTGACTAATTCATATGTTGTTCTACTGATTCATCAGCGTTGGCAGAAGTCAAAAGCAACAATGTGTTCATGTGACTATTTCTGTTAAAAGCAATTATAAAATACTGTTCAGTTATGAGGATTGTGTGCATGTTTGGCTCACAGGACAGCTTTTCCATTTTTTAAAAATGACATTCTAGAATTGTGCAATGCTACTCGAGTAATTCAGATTAAGTGTGGTCAGAAAGAGGCCCTTCAGAATGGTATCAGTTTCAGACTTCTATAATCAGCTGTTTAATGGCTTAGAAGTGGGTTCTTATCTAGTGAAAAGGAACATGATAGACATATTTGAAAGATTAATGTGAAGTATTTTCCTCTATATTAATTCTGCAGGCACAAAAATCTCAAACCAAGAAATTCAGGTCAACAGGGGCAGGCACCACCTGTGGGCCAACAACAGCAAGCAGCTCCAAAGCACAAGACGAATGAGAAGCAAGACAAAGGGGATAAGCCACAGAAACGCCCTTTGACTCCTTTTCATCATCGAGTATCTATCAGTGATGATGTTGCCATGGAGGCAGATTCAGCAAGTCAGAGGCTTGTGATGACTGCATCAGACAGTCAAGTGAGATTTTCAAATATCCGAACTAATGATGTAGCAAAGACTCCTCAAATGCATAATGCTGAAATGGCAAATTCACCTCAGCCACCACCGCTTAGTCCTCACCCGTGTGACGTAGTCGATGAAGGGGTAGCTAAAGCTCCTTCTACTCCTCAGAGTCAACATTTCTACCAGATGCCAACACCAGACCCCTTGGTTCCCACAAAAACAATGGAAGACAGACTCGATGGCTTGTCTCAGCCTTTTCCAGCTCAATTTCCTGAAGTTATAGAGCCTACAATGTATGTTGGTACTGCAGTGAATTTGGAGGAAGATGAAGCTGATACTACTTGGAAGTATTATAAAGTTCCAAAGAAAAAAGATGTGGACTTCTTACCACCTCAGCTTCCAAATGATAAGTTGAGAGATGATCCAGTAATACCTGCTGGACAGGAAAACATAACATCAGTTACAGAGTAAGTAGTGCTTAATACCATAGTAATAATGTGAGAAGGTGAGACTGAAAGGCCAAAGGCAGTGGTTTCTTGTTAAAAGCAAGCCTGTCACTGAAGCGTGATGTTGTTCTCATCAGCAGTAATGCTGACTCTGTGCGTAAGTTCCGGTGCTGTCCGTATACAAGCAGATAATATTTGTAAAATGTGAGCATAATCAATTCTTCCTGTCACCCATCTTTTACCATGCTTCCTTGTGAGGATGTGCTGCAGGAAAAAGATGGAAACGGGATGCACCAAGTGCTGCCAGGGCTGTTAACAGCAGTCTGAACGTAACATGATGACAACCTGGATGCAGAGGTTACAAACTTAAGCTTAGAGTTGTGATCAACGGATTAAAAAATGCATCTCGAATGCACCCAGAGTTGTCTCTATCAACTCGCTTGCTGTTGATTATTTTCTGATCCAATTTCCCC